CTAGGTGAACAGGGACAGTAGGTGTCTTGAGGAAGCACGCCCCATCAATGATTCTACCCGTACTGATGATCGAACCACGGACCTCAATATATGAGTGCGCTACGGGACATCATTTACGTGTGTGCTGTCCGACGTGTTTGGACAGAGATACTCCCTATCTCTTTATCTGAATAACTCTCCATAGCACTATCCGTCTTAACACGCCACACCCTGATATGACTCTACTTGTTCTTCTGTGGCTTACATACGGAAGTAATTTCATTCAGGAAGTTACAAGAGGGATTTATTGCTCAGTTAGGGTTGCTTAAGTAAAGGCATATAAATAAGGATGAAAAAAAGCAAATGACTCTCTTCTGACTCTTCTTATGAAGTAGCACAAATGATACTCTACTTCTGATACTACTACTACTATTATTATTACTAGTGCTACTGCAACGACTACTGTTATTACTACAGTTACTACTATTGCAACTATTATTACTACTGTTGCTACTACTACTAATACTACTACTAATATGACTACTATTCGTAGCAGTACTTTATACTAGCCAGTTCAAAAGATACTGCTATTACTACTATTATTACTACTGCTACTACTACTACTGCAACTATTATTACTACTGTTACTAATACTACTACAACTACTAGTAGTAGTACTGTATACTAACCAGTTCAAAAGAGTCGTAATCGGCGCACACGTGGGCCAGGTAGGGACACGGCTCGTACAGAGAGTCCGTGTACAGCTTATACGACCTGCCGTGACTGCACGCTGCCAGATCTCGTACACCATCAGGGATGTCCGAGATGAACTCAATACCAATATCCACGGGGTCACATCCTGGCTGGTTTCGTCCCGAATTTGGATAGAAATCTATATTGCCCATAGGCTGCTCCGTGCCGTAGCCCAGCAACAAAATAGATTTAGCGTCCGTATGGATGTTATCCACGTACACGGCATCCGTATTGTCGAGTCGGATGAAGGCGGGAGTATCGGTGAAATACGGCCCGGCAGGATCGAGACCAGAGATTCGGCCGAGATTGGTGATCTTCTCACCTGCGTAACCTGAGACGTGTGAACCCAGGGAGTGTCCGAGGAGGTGGACATTGGCAGGATCAACACCGTATTCGTCAATGAAGAAGTTGACCAAGTATGCGATCTCCAGCCCCACCACACGGGTGTTGGCCGTAGCTTGGAAGTACATGGGTAGGGACCCGTCACCCCAGTCCACACGGATGACATTGTAGTCACCGTAAACGAGGAATGCATGAGCCATGTCCTGTGTTCCGACACCGGAGGAATCGGAGCCGAAAAGATGGGTTCGTTAAGTGTAGAACATCATTATTTAGTAATGAAAACAAGAACCACTATTAATAAAGATTTAGAACCAGTATCACTGTCTGAACAATACCCGAATAACCCTCACAACACTGACAGATTTAGAACTAGTATCACTGACTGGTATTATTGGCTGGTATCACTGACTGGTATTATTGGCTGGTATCACTGACTGGTATCAGCCGACGCAGCATTATAATACTGATTCTTTTTCTTTATTTATAGTATATTTTTGCCATTTATTTTCACTTTATTATAAAATTACCAAGAGCTTTATTGATAATAAGAAGTAATAAGTAACCATCTTTAATTTCCTTTTATTTTCTCTGGCAAACCATCTTATTAACGATTTTTTTTTTGTTATTATTTAATTGACAGTCAACCTCTGTTATTAAAGAGCTCTCTCTCTCTCTCTCTCTCTCTCTCTCTCTCTCTCTCTCTCTCTCTCTCTCTCTCTCTCCTCTCTCTCTCTCCTCTCTCTCTCTCTCTCTCTCTCTCTCTCTCTCACCTTCAGCCACTGCGTGTTACCAGTGTCTATAAAGCCGTGGGTGATGAATTTGATGGGTTTCGAGGGATCAAACGTCGTAGCATCAATCGCAGTCTTGTCAGCACTGATGAAGAAGTCCTGCAGGTGCAGAGTAAAGACGAGGCATCAATGTTTCTGCCCTGAACCAGGTAATAATGCAGTTATTGTTTTTTTATTATCTACCATCGTCTCTTTCTATCTTGTGACACTGAGAATCTAAAAACTACATCTACAATCGTTGAACAATAAAAGTGCTACCAGCTACTCCTTCAGTCACCTCTACCTGCTCCTCATCTTCACAAGACACACTCGTACCTGATCCTCCACGTCACAAGACACCCTCGTACCTGATACTCCACGTCACAAGACACCCTCGTACCTGATTCTCCACGTCACAAGACACCCTCGTACCTGATACTCCACGTCACAAGGCACCCTTGCATTTGACACTTCGCGTCACAAGACACCCTCGTACCTGATCCTCTACGCACAAGATACTCTTGTACCTGATCCTCTACATCACACGACACCCTCATACCTGCTCTTCAGCGGGTGCCGTTCGAGTGTGAAGGCGGAACTGTGTGTTGATGGCGGCTCTGGAGTAAGGCAGGACGTTGATTCTATCCTCACTGCTCCAATCGTCATTAAGCTCCAAACATCCAAGCACCTCATCACACCACTCTGAGTCCCTCACTGCCGACACAAGTCAGTGTGTTAACCTGAGAGGCGGTGTGTACAAAAAAATACGACAATATAAGGGTATTCATTAAAATATAGACAGTTGATTAGCTAATTTAAATAAGGAATCAAGTCTAGAATTCCATGATCAAGAGCCCTTTACCAGCATCAAGGTTCGTGAAAGTGTTTTGGTTACTGGAAGAAGTCGGTGGTGTTTTGATTGTCAAAGTCGCAGTAACTTTTTTTATCTTTTGTTTTATCTATTGTTTTCTTGTAAATATTTTACTGCCATGGGAATGTGAACATGTGTGTGTGTGTGTGTGTGTGTGGTGTGTGTGTGTGTGTGTGTGTGTGTGTGTGTGTGTGTGTGTACTCACCTAGTTGTACTCACCTATTGTGGTTGCAGGGGTCGAATCACAGCTCCTGGCCCCGCCACATCACTGATCGCTACTAGGTCACTCTTCCTTCTCCATGAGCTTCATCATACCTCTTCTCTTCTGTATGGATCTTGCGTCCACTACATCGCTTCCCAAACTATTCCACTTACTGACTACTCTGTGACTGAAGAAATACTTCCTAACATCCCTGTGATTCATCTGAGTCTTCAACTTCCAACTCTGACCCCTTGTTGCTGTGTGACATCTCTGGCACATCCTGTCTCTGTCCACCTTGTCAATTCCTCTCAGTCGATTTCCTTAACCTCTCCTCGTTGGACATTCCCCTTAGCTCCGGGACTAGTCTTGTTGCAAACCTTTTCGTTTCATCTAGTTTCTTTACGTGCTTGGCTAGGTGTGGGTTCCAAACTGGTGCCGCATACTCCAATATGGGCCTAACGTACACTGTGTACAGTTTCATGAACGATTCCTTATTGAAATGTCGGAATGCTGTTCTTAGGTTTGCCAGGTGCCCATATGCTGCAGCAGTTATTTGGTTGATGTGTGCCTCAGGAGATGTGCCCAGTGTTATACTCACCCCAAGATCCTTCTCCTTGAATGAGGTTTGTAGTCTCTGGCCCCCCTAGACTGTACTCAGTCTGCGGTCTTCTTTGCCCTTCCCCAATCTTCATGACTTTGCACTTGGTGGGGTTGAACTTCAGGAGGCAGCATCTGGACCAGGCCTGCAGCCTGTCCAGATCTCTTTGTAGTTTTTCCCGGTCCTCGTCCGATTGAATTCTTCTCGTCAATTTCACATCATCTGCAAACAGGGTCATTTCTTTCACAGATACCAGAAACAGCATCGGTTCTAGGACTGACCCCTGTGGAACCCCGCTCGTCACAGGCACCCACTCTGACACCTCGCCAAGTACCATGACTCACTGTTATCTTCTTGATAGGTATTCCCTGATCCATTGTAGTGCCTTCCATGTTATCCCTGTCTGGTCCTCCAGCTATCACACTAATCTCTTGTGTGGAACTGTGTCAAACGCCTTCTTACAGTCCAAGAAAATGCAATCTACCCATCCCTCTCTCTCTCTTGTCTTACTGCTGTCACCCTGTCATAGAACTCCAGTACGCTTGTGACACAGGATTCCCCGTCCCTGAAACCGTGCTGGCTGTCGTTGATAAGGACATTCCTTTGTAGGTGCTCCAGCACTCTTCTCCTGTGTGTGTGTGTGTGTGTGTGTGTGTGTGTACTCACCTATTTACACACCTATTTGTGGTTGCAGGGGTCGAGTCTTAGCTCCTGGCCCCGCCTCTTCACTGGTTCCTACTGGGTACTCTCTCTCCCTGCTCCATGAGCTTTATCAAACCTCGTCTTAAAACTATGTAAGGTTCCCGCCTCCACTACGTCGCTTTCTTGGCTATTCCACTGCCTGACAACTCTATGACTCAAGAAATACTTCCTAACATCCCTTTGACTCATCTGAGTCTTCAACTTCCAATTGTGACCTCTTGTTTCTGTGTCCCCTCCCTGGAACATCCTGTCTTTGTCCACTTTGTCTATTCCGCGCAGTATTTTATATGTCGTTATCATGTCTCCCCTAACCCTCCTTTCCTCCAGTGTCGTCAGGCCGATTTCCCTTAATCTTTCTTCATAGGACATTCCCCTTAGCTCTGGAACTAACCTTGTCGCAAACCTTTGCACATTCTCTAATTTCTTGACGTGCTTGATCAAGTGCAGGTTCCAAACAGGTGGTGCATACTCCAGTATGGGCTTGACGTACACGGTGTACAGTGTGTGTGTGTGTGTGTGTGTGTGTGTGTGTGTGTGTGTGTGTGTGTGTGTGTGTGTGTGTGTGTGTGTGTGTGTGTGTGTGTGTGTTTGTGTGTGTGTATGTGTGTGTGTGTGTGTGTGTGTGTGTGTGTGTATGTGTGTGTGTGTGTGTGTGTATGTGTGTGTGTTTTTGTGTGTATATGTGTGTGTGTGTGTGGTGTGTGTGTGTGTGTGTGTGTGTGTGTGTGTGTGTGTGTGTGTGTGTGTGAATGTTCCACACACCTAGATAATACACGATAGTTTCATTCTAGGTAACAGTAGATAGTTCTTCTCAGAAGACAGCCTCGATGTGGACTTCCAAGTCCTCTGCTATCCGTGTTTCCCATGTACTTCCATGTACTCCCATGTACTCGATCCTTAGGACAGGTCACCACCAAAATGCTCGTATTAGGAGGAACTTAAGAACACTGGCTCACTCACTCACACGTGGGCTCACTCACTCACACGTGGGCTCACTCACTCACACGTGGGCTCACTCACTCACACGTGGGCTCACTCACTCACACGTGGGCTCACTCACACACACGTGGGCTCACTTACACACACGTGGGCTCACTCACTCACACGTGGGCTCACTCACTCACACGTGGGCTCACTCACACACACGTGGACTCACTCACACACACGTGGGCTCACTCACTCACACGTGGGCTCACTCACTCACACGTTGGCTCACTCACTCACACGTGGGCTCACTCACTCACACGTGGGCTCACTCACTCACACGTAGGCTCACTCACACGTGGGCTCACTCACTCACACGTTGGCTCACTCACTCACACGTGGGCTCACTCACTCACACGTGGGCTCATTTACACGTGGGCTCACTCACTCACACGTGGGCTCACTCACTCACACGTGGGCTCACTCACTCACAGGTGGGCTCACTCACACACACGTGGGCTCACTCACACACACGTGGGATCACTCACACACACGTGGGCTCACTCACACGTGGGCTCACTCACTCACACGTGGGCTCACTCACACACACGTGGGCTCACTCACTCACACGTGGGCTCACTCACTCACACGTGGGCTCACTCACACGTGGGCTCAGTCACTCACACGTGGGCTCACTCACTCACACGTGCGCTCACTCAGTCACACGTGGGCTCACTCACACGTGGGCTCACTCACTCACACGTGGGCTCACTCACTCACACGTGGGCTCACTCACTCACACGTGGGCTCACTCACTCACACGAGGGCTAACTCACACGTGGGCTCACTCACACGTGGGCTCACTCACTCACACGTGGGCTCACTCACTCACTCACACGTGGGCTCACTCACACTTGGGCTCACTCACTCACACGTAGGCTCACTCACTCACACGTGGGCTCACTCACACGTGGGCTCACTCATTCACACGTGGGCTCATTCACACGTGGGCTCACTCACTCACACGTGGGCTCACTCACTCACACGTGGGCTCACTCACACACACGTGGGCTCACTCACTCACACGTGGGCTCACTCACTCACACGTGGGCTCACTCCTACGTGGGCTCACTCACTCACACGTGGGCTCACTCACACGTGGGCTCTCTCATTCACACGTGGGCTCACTCACACGTGGGCTCTCTCTTACTCACTCGTGGGCTCACTCACACGTGGGCTCTCTCATTCACACGTGGACTCACTCACACGTGGGCTCTCTCATTCACACGTGGGCTCACTCACACGTGGGCTCTCTCACTAACACGTGGGCTCACTCACACGTGGGCTCTCTCATTCACACGTGGACTCACTCACACGTGGGCTCTCTCATTCACACGTGGACTCACTCACACGTGGGCTCTCTCATTCACACGTGGGCTCACTCGCACGTGGGCTCTCTCACTAACACGTGGGCTCACTCACACGTGGGCTCTCTCATTCACACGTGGACTCACTCACACGTGGGCTCTCTCATTCAAAACGTGGGCTCACTCCACACGGGCTCTCTCATTCACACGTGGGCTCACTCACACGTGGGCTCTCTCATTCACACGTGGGCTCACTCACACGTGGGCTCTTTAATTCACACGTGGGCTCACTCACACGTGGGCTCTCTCATTCACACGTGGGCTCACTCACACGTGGGCTCTCTAATTCACACGTGGGCTCACTCACACGTGGGCTCTCTCATTCACACGTGGGCTCACTCAAACTTGGGCTCTCTCATTCACACGTGGGCTCACTCAAACTTGGGCTCTCTCATTCACACGTGGGCTCACTCACACGTGGGCTCTCTCATTCACACATGGGCTCACTCACACGTGGGCTCTCTAATTCACACGTGGGCTCACTCAAACTTGGGCTCTCTCATTCACACGTGTGCTCACTCACACGTGGGCTCTCATTCACACGTTGGCTCTCTCATTCCCACGTGTGCTCACTCACACACACGTAGGCTCACTCACACGTGGGCTCTTTCATTCACACGTGGGCTCACTCACTCACACGTGTACTCACACACGTGTGCTCACTCACACACACGTGGGCTCACTCACACGTGGGCTCTCTCATTCACACGTGGGCTTACCACTCATACGTGTGCTCAGTCACACACGTGGGCTTACTCACACACACGTGGGCTCACTCACACGTGGGCTCTCTCATCCACACGTGGGCTCACTCACTCACACGTGTGCTCACTCACACACGTGGGCTCACACACACACACGTGGGCTCACCCACTCACACGTGGGCTCACTCACACACACGTGGGCTCACTCACACACACGTGGGATCACTCACACACACACCTGGGATAACTCACACTTGGGCTCACTCCCATACACACACACGTGCGCTCACTCACTCACACGTGGGCTCACTCACACACATGTGTGTTCACTCACTCCCACACACACACACACACCACACACACACACACACACACACACACACACACACACACACACACACACACACACACACACGTGGGCTCACTCACGCACACGTTAGCTCACTCACACATACGTGGGCTCACTCATATACTTGTGGGCTTACTCACACACACGTGGGCTTACTCACACACACGAGTGTTCACTCACAAACACGTGGGCTCACTCACACACAAGTGGGCTCATTCACACACACACGTGGGCTCACTCACACACACGTGGTCTCACTCACACACACGTTGACTCACTCACACACACGTGGGCTCACTCACACACACGTTGACTCACTCACACACACGTGGACTCACTCACACACACGTGGGCTCACTCACACACACGTTGACTCACTCACACACACGTGGGCTCACTCACACACACGTGGGCTCACTCACACACACCTGGGCTCACTCACACTCACCTGGGCTCACTCACACTCACCTGGGCTCACTCCCACACACGTGGGCTCACTCACACTCACCTGGGCTCACTCACACACACGTGGGCTCACACACACACACGTGGGCTCACTCACACACACGTGGGCTCACTCACACACACCTGGGCTCACTCACACTCACCTGGGCTCACTCACACTCACCTGGGCTCACTCCCACACACGTAGGCTCACTCACACTCACCTGGGCTCACTCACACACACGTGGGCTCACACACACACGTGGGCTCACTCACACACACCTGGGCTCACTCACACTCACCTGGGCTCACTCACACACACCTGGGCTCACTCACACTCACCTGGGCTCACTCACACACACGCGTGGGCTCACACACACACACACGTGGGCTCACTCACACTCACCTGGGCTCACTCACACTCACCTGGCCTCACTCACACACACCTGGGCTCACTCACACTCACCTGGGCTCACTCCCACACACTCACGTGTGTATGAGTGAAGCTAAATCGTCACATTGTTCCAGACCATGGAACAACACTCTTCTCCAGGCTGAGGGACTGACCACCTCTGAACTACGTCTTCAACTGTGATAGACTGATTATATCGTCTGTACATCTCTAATATTTCTCCTGCCGCCTCTGTATTTGACTGAAGAAACCTAACTGTTTCACATGTTTCTCCAGTAACCTTATAATGCTTCAGAATGGATTGAAACGTCGTGTAAGTTTGATTTCTAGTCTCTGGGTTAGTTCTGATTTTTTTTTTTTTTCAGCAGGGGAATTTTGTTTCTATTTTCTCTAAGGCAGAGACGATGGATGAGATATTGTGGATCGGAAGGTTATATGCGATGTCCGAGGTCTTCTGGTATGACAGCTGTTGAGTGAGTGATGGTGCAAGTGTTTCTTTCTTTGGGTCACTCTTCCTTGGTCGGAAATAGGTGTGTGTTTTATTTTTTACAATCCGGCCGTTTCTCATCGCAGTAGAGTGACCTTACACTCTGTCACTGTCTTAGTAGAAATGTTCTGCTATCATTGTTCAGATGATGCTCTGAACTGCAGCATCCTCATCCCTCCTTCAGAGTGCAGGTACTGTACTTCCTACTTCCAGGACTGTGATATCCTCACCCATCCTTCAGAGTGCAGGTACTGTACTTCCTACTTCCAGGACTGTGATATCCTCACCCATCCTTCAGAGTGCAGGTACTGTACTTCCTACTTCCAGGACTGTGATATCCTCACTCATCCTTCAGAGTGCAGGTGCTGTACTTCCTACTTCCAGGACTGTGATATCCTCACTCATCCTTCAGAGTGCAGGTACTGTACTTCCTACTTCCAGGGTTGCAACATCCTCACCCATCCTTCAGTGCAGGCACTGTACTTCCTACTTCCAGAACTGCAACATTCTCACTCATCCTTCAGAATGCAGGCACTGTACTTCCTACTTCCAGGACTGCAACATCTTCACTCATCCTTTAGAGTGCAGGTACTGTACTTCCTACTTCCAGGACTGCAACATCCTCACTCATCCTTTAGAGTGCAGGTACTGTACTTCCTACTTCCAGGACTGCAACATCCTCACCTCTCCTTCAGGGGGGCATGCAGTGTACTTCCCATCTCCAGAACTGCAGCATCCTTACCCATCCTTTAAAGTGCAAGCACTATACTATCCACCTTTCAGGACCCAAGACGGAAACCAGCCGATGTTGTACACAAAAAAAATGGAAGAAATACCTTTTGTCCTGGTGAGATCAAGAGGCTGGCTTCGTCTCCAGGCAGGAACCACAGCTGCTGATGCTGTCTCTCCCACCAGCACTGCCACCAACGCCACCACCACAACAGTGATCTTCATACTGATGAATTATTCTCTGGGTGACCCAGCAACACTCATCCCTGTCTCTCCAGCTCTTCCGATATGACCTCTCAAGTATCTCTCTCAACCCTTTATAGCCAAGCATTTATCGTCAGGGTTAATGCTCAGTGTCAACTCCAGCAACTCTCTGATATGGTTGTCCTTGTTTTGTTCCCATCGTTCTCATTTTTTATAGTCCTCATTCTGCTTACTCACTATTCCTCAGCTTGTTTTCCTCACTCTTCGCCACTTTTCTTGCTGTAACATTTACGACTCAATCTCTCTCTCTCTATCTCTCTCTCTCTCTCTCTCTCTCTCTCTCTCTCTCTCTCTCTCTCTCTCTCTCTCTCTCTCTCTCTCTCTCTCTCTCTCTCTCTCTCTCTCTCTCTTTCACCCGTCAGCAGCATCACACAAAACGTCGACAAGACAGACATCCGCCGCAGGAGATGTACACCAAACAGTGATTCAGGCAGCTGAGGAAAACAATTCAGTGGAATTACCAAGATGTGGGGGGAGTAATGTAAGCAGATTTAATACACAGTTTTAAGCACACGTACACCAGATCCCAGGATGAAGAGAACTGGAGAAGAGCTTTGTCATCACTTGATACAGCTCTGCACAGAGCTGTATCAAGTGATGACAAAGCATTGTCCCAAGAAAGACTTATTCCGCAATATGGATCTTTTCTTTATAGGGAGGATATAGCATGAGGGTTCTTATTAGTGACGCACTGCTGTTGGGGTCTTCAAGAACCATCAGTCACTGGTTCAACATTAATGAGATATGACGGATATTTTCAGAAGCAGCTGTACTTTCCCTCACTGATAAACGTGATGTACCACCACTGCCTCAAGTTTTATTCCCACCCATGTTTATGTCAACTTGGTTAATGTTATGTAAAAGGACACAAGTGCAACTAATGCGACATTTTATCGTGGTAACGTTTCGCTCTCCAGGAGCTTTGTCAAGGCGTTACCGAAATGACTACGGTGCTCTTCACACCAACTCCAAGGTTGAGGGACTGATTACCTCATCTTCGGTAAATATTTCTTGTCTTCAAATTATGCCCTAGAATTTGTATTGATAAGGCCACTGGTTGGCGAAACGTCTACAATAAAGACGTTTCACCCAGGTGTTGCACACGTATCTAAATTTCAATACCAACATTATTTGTTAATGTTGCTTAATACTAGATTTTCTAGTACACATTAACTCACATTTTTATTTATTGACCTGAAAACATGGGTCACACCGAGGTAGTGTGACCCTCCTTCTCCCCACACCGAGGTAGGGTGACCCTCCTTCTCCCCACACCGAGGTAGGGTGACCCTCCTTCTCTCCACACCGAGGTAGGGTGACCCTCCTTCTCCCCAGAGAAAAGAAAACACATTCACCAACATTTATTTACTCGCTCTATTGTCAGAAGTGTGTTGACATCACATTTAGAATGACGCTCCGACCTGCAGCAGCCTCATTTCTCCTGCAGATTGCAAGCATTGTGCATGTGTGTGTGTGTGTGTGTGTGTGTGTGTGTGTGTGTGTGTGTGTGTGTGTGTGTGTGTGTGTGTGTGTGTGTGTATGTGTATGTGTGTGTGTGTGTGTGTGTGTGTGTGTGTGTGTGTACTCACCTATTTGTACTCACCTATTTGTGGTTGCAGGGGTCGAGTCCTAGCTCCTGGCCCCGCCTCTTCACCGGTTGCTACTAGACCCTCTCTCTCCCCGCTCCATGAGCTTTATCAAACCTCGTCTTAAAACTGTGTATGGTTCCTGCCTCCACTACGTCATTTTCTAGGCTATTCCACTGCCTTACAACTCTATGACTGAAGAAATACTTCCTACTATCTCTCTGACTCATTTGTGTCTTCAACTTCCAATTGTGGCCTCTTGTTTCTGTGTCCCCTCCCTGGAACATCCTGTCCTTGTCCACCTTGTCTATTCCACGCAGTATTTTATATGTCGTTATCATGTCTCCCCTGACCCTCCTGTCCTCCAGTGTCGTCAGGCCGATTTCCCTTAATCTTTCTTCATAGGACATTCCCCTTAGCTCTGGAACTAACCTTGTTGCAAACCTTTGTACTTTCTCTAGTTTCTTGACGTGCTTTATCAAGTGCGGGTTCCAAACAGGTGCTGCATACTCCAGTATGGGCCTGACATACACGGTGTACAGTGTCTTGAATGATTCCTTACTAAGGTGTCGGAATGCTGTTCTCAGGTTTGCCAGGCCCATATGCTGCAGCAGTTATCTGATTGATGTGTGCTTCCGGAGACATGCTCGGTGTTATACTCACCCCAAGATCTTTCTCCTTGAGTGAGGTTTGCAGTCTTTGGCCACCTAGCCTATACTCTGTCTGTGGTCTTCTGTGCCCTTCCCCTATCTTCATGACTTTGCATTTGGCAGGATTAAATTCGAGAAGCCATTTGCTGGACCAGGTGTCCAGTCTGTCCAGGTCTCTTTGAAGTCCTGCCTGGTCCTCATCAGATTTAATTCTCCTCATTAACTTCACATCATCTGCAAACAGGGACACTTCTGAGTCTAACCCTTCCGTCATGTCGTTCACATATACCAAAAATAGCACTGGTCCTAGGACCGACCCCTGTGGGACCCCGCTCGTCACAGGTGCCCACTGTGATACATCATTACGTACCATGACTCGTTGTTGCCTCCCTGTCAGGTATTCTCTGATCCATTGCAGTGCCCTTCCTGTTATATGCGCCTGATGCTCTAGCTTCTGCACTAATCTCTTGTGAGGAACTGTGTCAAAGGCCTTCTTGCAGTCCAAGAAGATGCAATCAACCCACCCCTCTCTCTCTTGTCTTACTTCTGTTATTTTATCATAAAACTCCAGAAGGTTTGTGACACAGGATTTGCCTTCCGTGAATCCGTGCTGGTTGGCATGTGTGTGTATGTGTGTGTGTGTGTGTGTGTGTGTGTGTGTGTATGTGTGTGTGTGTGTGTATGTGTGTGTGTGTGTGTCTGTCTGTCTGTCTGTCTGTGTACTCACCTACTTGTGGTTGCAAGGGTCGATTCACAGTTCCTGGCCCCGCCTCTTCACTGGTCGCTACTAGGTCTCTCTTCCTGCTCCGTGAGCTTTATCATACCTCTTCTTAAAGCTATGTATGATTCTGCCTCCACTACATCATTTCCCAGACTATTACACTTCCTGACAACTTTGTGACTGAAGAAATACTTCCTAACATCCCTGTGGTTCATCTGTGTCTTCAACTTCCAACTGTGACCCCTTGTTGCTGTGTCCCATCTCTGGAACATTCTGTCTTTGTCCACCTTGTCGATTCCTCTCAGTATTTTATATGTCGTTATCATATCCACCCTATCGCTCCTGTAATCCAATGTCGTCAGGTCGATTTCCCTTAACCTCTCCTCGTAGGCCATGCCCCTTAGCTCCGGGACTAGTCTTGTTGCAAACATCTGCACTTTCTCTAGTTTCCTTATGTGCTTGGCTAGGTCTGGGTTCCAAACTAGTGCTGCATACTCCAATATAGGCCTAACGTACACGGTGTACAGTTTACTGAACGATTCCTTATTGAGATGTCGGATTGCTGTTCTTAGGTTTGCCAGGCGCCCATATGCTGCAGTAGTTATTTGGTTGATGTGCGCATCAGGAGATGTGCCCAGTGTTATACTCACCCCAAGATCCTTTTCCTTGAGCGAGGTTTGTAGTCTCTGGCCCCTCTAGACTGTACTCCGTCTGCAGTCTTCTTTGCCCTTCCTCAATCTTCATGACTTTGCACTTGGTGGGGTTGAACTCCAGGAGCTAGTTTCTGGACCAGGCCTGCAGCCTGTCCAGATCCCTTTGTAGTTCTGCCTGGTCCTCGTGTGTGTGTGTGTGTGGGCTTGTGTGCTATTTTCACCCATCTGTACTCACCTATTTGTGGTTGCAGGGGTCGATTCACAGCTCCTGGCCCTGCCTCCTAATTTACTACTTTCATATTCCCTCCCACTCAGCCTCGAGGGCCCTCATCGTACCTGCTCTTAAAACTATATATGGAGCCTGTTTCTCACCTCTCAAACACCCACTACTTGTCTATCTTATCAGTTCTCCTAAGTATTTTGAAGGTTATCACGTCCTCCCTGGTTCCTCTGTCCTCCAAGGTCGTTAGGTTTAATTCCGTGCTTCTGGTGATATACTGGGCACTATGCTCACCCCAAGGTCTTTCTCTTTGAGTGAAGTCTGCAAGAATACCGTGCCTAGTCTTATTGCTCCTTCCCAAATCTTCATGGCTTTGCATGTACTGGGGCTGAATTCTAACAGCCACTTCTCTGACCAATCTTGCAATTTGTCCATATCCTGTAGAGCCATTCCATGTCCTCAATTTTTATTCTCCTCATTAGTTTACATCATCAGCAAACAGGGTTATAACAGAAACATTCCCATCTGGAATGTCATTCACATAACAGTACTGGTCTAAATGTCTATCCTTACGGTACCCCGCTTGTTACTCTTCCCCATTCTGATGTCTCTTTCCTGACAGTCACTCTGATTCTTTTCCCTAAGATATTCTTTGATTCACCGGAGTACGTTCCCTCTTATTTCTACCTGATTCTCAAGTTTTTGTTCCAGTATTTTGGAGAGTACGGTATCAAAAGCTTACTTGCAGTCTCTAAAAATACAATCCTCAGAGCCCTTTCTCTCTCTCTCTTCTCTCTCTCTCTCTCTCTCTCTCTCTCTCTCTCTCTCTCTCTCTCTCTCTCTTCTCTCCTCTCTCTCTCTCTCTCTCTCTCTCTCTCTCTCTCTCTCTCTCTCTACTCCTCTACATCTGTAACTTTGCAGCTAATGCGACATTTTATTGTAGCAACGTTTCACTCTCCAGGAGCTCTGTCAACCCGTTACATAATGGCTTGACACAGCTTCTGGAGAGCGAAACGCTGCCACAATAATCTGTAACTTTGTCACACGACTCCAAGAAGTTAGTAAGACAAGATTTGCCATTCATAAACCCATGTTATTTATTATTTATGGATCCAGTTCTCTCCAAGTGTTCTACCATTCTCCACCTGATCAGTTCCTCCAGTATCCTGGAAAGTTTACATGCCAGAGAAACTGGACTGTAGTTTAGGCCTCCTGT